CTATAGAACAGTGTTTTATAACCTTAGAGGTGACTTATATAACGTTTTGCATGCTGTGGAGAGCAAAGCACACAAGTAATTAACTTTAAATATGATTAATATAGTGAGTTAAAAAAAATATTCTGGAAAGTGACCTCAAACAAAGACACGTAGACACACACACACACACAACACACACACACACACAAAGGAGTTTCTTGCTCCTAAGTCCTTGTTATAATCACAGCTATACCTTCTAGATATACACACCCTGTCAAATAAACACACACTGGTACACACAAACACGCACATTGAGAGTTGACATGACAGAGTGGCGTGCTGCTGAAGAGGACAGTGTGGTGGCCAGGTGACGGACAAGATATTATTTGTGTCGCAGCCAGCATTCAATCACCCTCTCCTCTCCTCCCTCTATCGCTCTCCCCTCTCCCTGTCATCGCCCTTTTCTCCCGCTGTTCTTGGCATTGCCGGGCGAAAAGATTTCTGGGGCTATCACTCTTCCTCTCGCCTCCCTCTCCTCTGTGTCGGTGAATCACGGCTTGTCTTTGGCGCACACACTGGCTGTAAAAGGACTGCATGCTCTCTCCTTTTCCTCCTCTCCCTCTCTCCCTGCATTCCATTTTTTCCTCTTTCTGTTTGATACTCATTAATATAAGCACCATTTGTCTTTAAGGTTAAGTGTAGGTTAGGCGGAGATCGAAAATCAGACTGCTTTCGACTAACTTTTTTAAAAAGAGCCAGAAAATCAGTGGTGACAAAAAAATGAGTTGATGTCAATTTCTAGTTATGAACAGTGTCTCCATTCTAATAAAAGTCAAACTTTCACCATTAAAAACACAACGTGTCACTGATGTCACATTCTGTGCTGCAGCAAAAAACATGATGTTTACATCAAATAAACAGATCTGCATACCTCTATTCTGCAGCTTGTGGATATACTGTGTACTGAATCAAAACTGCAGCATCAAGTAAGCATACATGTGCATTCCTACAACACAGTCATTTCTACATCAGACAGTGAATGCAGGTGAAAAGGGCCTGAAAACAAAAAATAAGGCTGTATCACTTGCACATAGTAATGTGTACAACCATTGCTACAGATCAGTTTAATGCAACACTTCACTTTTCTCTCTCCATCACTTTTCTTTTACTCCAAGCCTCTTCTTTGGCTCACTCTCTTATTCTCACACTCCCTCCATCTCCTACATCATCCTTTACATTCCCTAACTCTCCCCCTTACATTGTTGAGTCCAACTCTTCCTCTCTCAGTTTCTCTTGTGTTCTCTCCTTTTTTTTCACTAGCCCACACCCTGCCTCTCTTTCTTTTATGTCCCCCCCTGCTCCATTTACAACACATTCTCCTTATCCCACCTGTCTTTTTTCAAATTCAGCTCCATCTCACACACCCTTAACCTGGCACCACACTCTCTTGCTCTCAGTCTTGCATTCTCTCTCTTCCTCCCTCTGTATGGAAATGGTTTGTATTGATCCACTCTCAAACCGGGGAGAAGGTCAGGGGTTTACCAATAAAGCTCAGGGACAAAACAGAGATACACAAACGAACACACACACACAACACAGCAGTCAAATATAGCCAGGTATCAGAACAAGATAAGGGCCGGTGTGTGTATGCGTGTTTGATTTTGTGTGACTTCTTTGTCCAATACAGTAATCTCTGGTGTCCCCAAACATTTGTGTTAAGAGGGCAGATGAAAATGTCATCCTAATGATGACCAGAGGCGAACAAATCATGATGCAGCACTAACATGAAGTCAACACAGGGAGCTGACAGAGCGCCTGGTCATCCATCATGGCTGTGTGGCTAACAGCTGTCCAGGCCTCCCTCACCTCCACCCCTGCCTTGCCCTCTCCACCGCTATGTGGCAGGGTCAACTGAATGTAGTCAGCCCTCCACTCCCACATTACACAGCCTTTCCCACACTGCTCAGTCACATGAGTAAGGCTGGAATGGCTGAGAAAATGTGGGTGGGGTTCAGTGCCAACACCAGTAGCCTAAACACTAGAGAGCTGTGGAGTGGGAGATCACCAGTTTAAATTCCTTTGCTCAGTGAGAGAAACAGAAAAGTAAAAATGACTCCTAGTTATGCTCATAAGTTTCCGCTGTGTCTCTGACTCTTTTTAGACCACGTCTAAATTAGATAACTTAAATACCAGTTTAAAGAAATCAAACTGTTGAGCCTATGTTAAGGACTTATGTGCATGTCAAAGTATGTAAATCTCGTTTGAGAGCATCAACAACGTTTTTCTGTGCCAAAGTTGGTCGCAGCAGCAAAACTAAACTATGACTGATATGAATTTCAGTGTTTGAAATACAGGTTCTTACATGCAAAATGTGAGTGGTTCAAAATGCTGTTTTTTATTAAAAAAAATAATCTTTGGTTAGTCGCATTTCAAAGTGCATAATATGATTCAAAGTGCAAAGAATACAAACATTATTAACAATAAGTACATAGAAGGTTAGAATAGTTATAACCTCATCAAATGTATTTTAGGTAAATAACCCAACAGTAATGTAAAAGAAAAATTTAACAAACTTTGGCTTGAAACAAACTCTCTCCTGGGGGTTTTCTACCCTCAGGTCCTGGCTAAAGTTGAAGTTATATTGGGCCGATTTGTTAGCGCTTCCAGTTAATGATTGCATGTTAATTGTTTTGCATGGAGTAAATCAAGGCTAGTTATTAATGCAGGAAAATGAAACTTCTTGTCTAATATGTTGTTGTCTCTTGTTATTTGTCTACACGATTCATCAACAGCCGAGTCTAGTAATGCTACAGAGGAGTTTGTTGTTGTGTTTAATTATGTTGCACAACACCAGCTCCCACATTGAAAAAAAATAATATCAGGCATTCATACGAGGTCAGATTTGAGGTCCTATGGATCACTGACTGAGGTTGAGGTCATTCGCCTGCAGCTGACATCAGGTCAGTACTTAGGGGCAACGGGGCGGACGTCATTAACCTGAAGACGACCCCCCCAGCCTTGCTGCTGCCGTGGGGTCAGCCAATGAGCTTATCTGTGAGGCTATTACATCATTGTTGATGACAGCTTATGTTGGACAGTTTTTGAGGGGACACTGACGTAAGTGAATTTGATTCTTATCTAAAATGTTGTAACAAACCCAAATGACAAACTGTGAGGAGGGATAAAGGATCTGACTTAAAGAGTAACAACACCACTGCTCTGTGATAGGAAATGTGCAAGTGCATGTGATTTAAAGATTAATGCTGCATTTTGTGTCGTTAATAGGACCCTGATGTTATGGATCATGAGTCTTTTTAACTATTGTTTTTTTGTTACAGCTGTGCCTTTTCTAATACAAAAAGCTTAAGTCTATACAATCTTCATTGGCACAGCTATGTCAGGTGAAATGCAAACCAGGATGTGTAGTTAGAGTCTTATCAAAAGCAAACACACTGCACAACAGTAAATATATTTGAAATTTTTGGTCTATCTATTGAGAGTTATTATAACGGTAATAATATGTTCCTCTGGCTAAATGCTGATGAGGTAAGAGGTTGTGTCAGCACAACAGAATTTTCTACCTGACGTGTGTGTTCACAAACAGTATTTGATCAACAGTTCAGTGAGTTAGGGATGTTCCTCCAAACCCCATACAGTAAATGGTTGATTTCAATTATTTGGTTTTATACCGCAGAATTCTGCACCTAAGAGTCCTGAGTCCCTGCTGCACAAGTCCAAAGGTCTAATTGAAATAAATGAGATTTTTTTTTTTACTCAGAGCTATTGTGAAAGTGATGGGCCCTGAGAAAGAGAAGCAAAGGAAAGAATAAAGACAAGCACTGAAAGATACTACAACATCTATAGAAGGTGGAAATAAAGAGAAGGGAAGGGAGGGGAAAGAGGTCTTGGCGGGGTCTTTCACATTACTTACACTACCACACACAAAACTCACCTGTGCACTCGAGTTAATAAAGACATGCACCGAGCAAAGGGGCTTTTCTTAGCAATTAAAGCACTCAATTTTATGCAACACAGGGTAAATGGTTTGTGTTTGTATGTAAAGGGAGGACACCTGCCGGAAAAATGGTGCGCGCTGACATTTCAGAGAAAGCTTTAAAAAGTGCTTTAATTAAGCCATCTTAAGAAAGAGCAAGACGGAGGGGAAGGATGGGTGAATTTAAAGAGCACACAAAAAGAAAGATGGGGTCTCTGAGACAGGTGGTCACTTAAGAGCGAGGCTCATCAAACACTAATAGAAGGAACAAAAATATAAGAGGATTCAGGGGGAAAGAAGAGTATGAGGGACGAAGGTTAGAGAGAAATGGAAGATGAGAACAGGTGTATAACAGATGCTCATTATTTGATTTTTAACTGTATAGTACCTTAATGTTTCAGGTGTGAGAGCAAGTATGCGAGTCAGTTTGAGCTGTGTCCTCTTTAATGCATGCAGGGTCATGCCCCATGGATCAGTTAGTAAAAACCATGTCTCACTCATGCTATCCCCCAGGATCTCACACTGCAGTGCACTGAACCATACTAGGTGTATATGTGTGTGCACAAGTGCTACTGCTGATTGACATTTCACAAATCCAGGGGACTGGGCTCATGATGTCCCCTGCCTGACTAACTCAGAGCACACTGAGGTTCTAGTTGTAAAAGTTGGCAGAAGGAAGTGAATGAGTCACTGATGAATTAATTAGCATGGACTTTATTCAATTAAAAGGTGGAGGTTTTAGTGGAGAAGTATAAATAGAGAAGGCACAAATTACACTTTCGTAATACGTTTGTTCTTGTTCATCAGCGAAAAGCAATGTTGTAAAACTCTCCCATTAGACTGGTTTAAAAAGGGCCCACTAACTATAATGCTAACAGAGTCTAGATCACTTTCTAAATAATCATAGCATGATATTTGTCCACTCACTGATAAGTAGACCAAATGATTTTAAGGGAAAAAATAAAGTTAAGAAAGTAAGTACTCAACTGAAAACTCAAGAAAGCACAAAGAGTAGATTGGAGCTTACCGAGTTGATGCAGGCGAGCTCCTTGTTAAGCAGCCAGGGTAAGGAGAGCTTCCCATCTCCTTTGTAGCAGGACTGAATTCTTTCTTTGATCTTTTCTTTTATCTTCCTCAGGGTGAACAGGCACAGTGCTGACTCTTTGGGTGGTTTGGCCCGATTCTTCTGACCCTGTGAGAAGATTGTGAAGAGGATGTCTTCATTCTCTGAGATCCCCAATGAGTTGGCCAGCTGCCGGCCAGGCCTAGCCAAGAACGCATCCTGCACCAGGCGGTACTCCACACCGTCTTTAGTGCAGCCAATCGGGAACTCGACGTAGGAGTAAAACTTGGGGTCGTCCACGCAGAGGCGGACAATTTTGGAGGTGAAGAACTGCTCTCCGCTGGCATCAGGTGAGGTCAACTGGGTATCCAGCTGCATTGTCAGATAGTACACAAACTGTTCACTGCTAAAGCTATACACATAATAGATGTCGAAAGCAGGGAATTTGGACAAAGTGTCTGAGGGGATCTTCAGCTGAGAGGAGACGAACTCATCCTGATAAACAAAGCTGAACATGTCCGCGTTTTCTTCATTCTCCATCAGCTTGCGGCTGGACAGCGTAGGGAAGTACTCGGACTTTCCATCAATGGGTGTTCCAATAAAAAGCTTGCTCGTCGGACTGTGAGGGGAACTTATGATGACCCCAGACATGGTGCCTGACTCTGCCACACTGGAGAGGTAGTGCTCCTTGCGATGGTGGGGCTCGCCCAGCTTGAAGAGGTCGTCCAAACGGAGGAACTGGCAGATCCCCTGTGAAGTGCTGCCACAAGCTATGAGGCGATTCTGTGCATAGTCTATGAGAAGCAGCTTGTTCACGTTGGGGGTTTGGGCCAAGTCATGAGGGCATGACTGGACACTCGGCGGAGGGTAACACTTCTCGTTGTCCACCACCGGGCCGGTCATGTGGCTGCGCAGTTTGGTGAGGTTGCTAGACAACTTGAAAATCCAGTTGACAGCACCCACATAGACTTCCCCAGTTTTGTTGTGGATGGCCAGATGTGTAAGCCCCGACTCAGAAGGGGCAAATCTTTTGAAGGGCGGGGGTTGGCCTCCAGAGAAGGATGAGCTCATGATAAGCAAGAGCCCCAAGAGGAGGAAGAAGTTCCCGTGGCCAGGCAAAGCCGCTGACCGAGCTAGGGGGCACATATCTGGGCTGTCAGGAGGAAAGGCTTAGGGGGTTGGGGAAGGAGAAAGAGAGAAGGAGAAGGATGAGGAGTACAAGCTCTGGTACCAATTCCACAGTCAGGTTTTGGTTCTCTCTTCTTTCAAGGAATGAAGAAGGACAGTTAAAGGGAGAGAGAGTGGGTTTAAGGGAGGGTAAACAATATTCCTATTGATCCGCTGTCCCACTCTTAGCGTTGCAGGCCATCATCGGGAACATCATCCGTATAGACACGAGGTTGGAGCCCTGTAAGGCAGAGAAAAAAAACATGGTAAGTATCCAAGAAACATTTCCTATTGACTATGCATCAAGCAGGCAGAGAGGCCTATCATGCCCACATATTGCATAGCCCAAACCAGAAAAAAATCCAGCTGACATTTGCCCCAGTGATAAATAAATTATATCAAATCAAGTCTGGAAGGCAAATGTGTGTCAGCATTTAATTACGGGTGAAGATAGCAGGGGAGGCATGGGCCGATTATTAAAGGCTCTGAACGCATAATGCGAGTGTTGCTGGAATGAGTTATGGACTCACAACATTGAACTCTTTAATATTTTATAACTTTCAACTTCACCATGGTGGCTTTGGAGGAGGCGTTGGTCTGAAAAATTGCCAGTGGGCACTGTTACATTGACAGCAAGCAATTTATTGCTAGGTCTGCTAGAAGGCTTTCCTGTCATGAGTTTCAACAGCATCAACACGCTATCAAGTAACCCCTTATTGTAATTATGCCTGCAGTTCTGGCAAAAGTACTCGTGCATCAGACGCTCATGCAAGCACAGCAGGTCACCCGACAAACTCCCAATTCCCTCAGGAGGCAGTGATTACAATATAATGTATACACCAGGACAAATGGACAAACTGAAGCATAGAGAAATACAAGGACCTCTGACTATGATGTGTGCTAAACATACAGCACAATTCTGGTTTACCAATCACTTTTGATTTTTGAAGGGTCCTTATCTTAGAAAACAGACAGAGCCAAATCTGCCCCATTTTCTGACCACAATCAGTCATCAAATCCAAATCCTTCCCGTCTCCTTTTATACAGCTACTGTGTATAGACCACTAGATTGAGACCACTTTCATATTGAAACATGCAGTGATTAGCTCAGTGGAGGTCTAGGTATATGTGGTGGCCAAAAACAACATCTTAACCTGGCTGAACTGTACTTTCCGCAGCAAGTCCAAGTGAGCTGAGAACGCAACAGGGTATTATCCGCAGAATTCACCCCGAGCCAGTAGGAGAGGGTGGTGATGCTTATATACTGTGACTGCTGCAAGGTTACATTTTCTTTTCGTCAGTATGTTGTTGTCTGCTAATTTGTTGGTAGTGCGATTCCATTGAACAACACGTAGCATTGATATAAAGGCAAATGTTTTAATGATAGCAACGTATAGCGGACTCTATTGCTTAGTCTGCTACTTCTGTGTTGTTGTTTTGTTTTGTTTTTTCAGGAGACCCCACGTCCCCCCCTCCTGTCTGACAGGGATAGTCTCCCGCTGTAAGGTACATATTCATATTATAATGATTTATAGGAAACAGGTTTTACAGGTAAAAGACAAGGAGGACAGGAGAAGGCATCAAGAGGGAGAGCAATTGCTTCTTAAGATGTCCTACAACAACAGTATTATGATGAGGAGGAGTTGGGTTTGTATGGTGCATGCTGTTACTTGACAAGCCAATCATGTTACTGCAAAACTGGAACATTAGCTCTCCTGTAAATGCTGATTATGCAAAACAGGACGCAACTCTCCCAGGGACCCCACACTTCAATTTCACCTTGACTATCAAAGTGTCTGCGCAAAGGATATTTTATGACCACACCGAATCAGAAAAGATGAGACACTACAGTGAGATGAGGAGGAAAGGAAAAGGGGGAAGGGGTAGAAATATGAGATAGGAACAGAGAGAGCAGGGGCAAAGAGGAATATTTGTTTTTCTTTTCTCTTTCTTTCTTATCTTAGTTACTGCCTCCTGCTCCTCATGTGGTCAGGAGGCTATCTGTCTATCAATCACAGAGCACAAGTCAGGGTCATGGAGTGTGATCAGTTTACAAAGGTATGGATGTAAATGAGATCTAAATCTTCTGTTTATTTTTTTTGGTTTACACAGCCATACTTGAGGATAGGTATAAGAGAGGGAGTTTGGATGAGATCGCAGTAAGAAAATAAATGCACTTTCCCGAGTATTGAAAGAATTAAACACCTCAGTAAGAGGAGTCATTGAATTGCTCATCAATTTTAGTCACTGCAAAGAGTGTGAGAGAGAAGAGAGAGAGGGAGAGCGCAGGAGAGAAGAGAAATAGTGGTGGCGATGTTCGTGGAATAGCAAACCATAGCTCAGCTGAGACAGTGCTAGCCAGGTTCAGGGAGAGGTGGTGTCATCCAATTTCCACAAATGAAAGGCCAGCAGAAGACAAATGTGTAGGAGTGAGAGAAAAAAAAACTAAGTTGAAAAAGAGGAGCAGAGCTTGAAAAAGAGAAAGTGGGAGACAGAGAAAAAGGGAGGAATTGCAGGGAGAAAAAAGAGCTAGAAAGAGAGGAGCTGAAGGGTGAGCGAGGAGCAGCAGGAGCCAAACAAAAGGCAGCACTTCTGTTGCATTTTAATCAGAGCTATACCAGCGCTTGAATCAAACACCTGGGGAGCCCGGAGGATTGAAGCAGCTCAGCACGGTAACTGCAGACAGAAGGGCCTGAGCTGCAGCTATCAGATATACCCACGCTCTGCAGTCTGTGAGATTAAAGCAACTCGATGCAGATCACAGCCTCTTCCACATAAGCAGCCGCAATAAAATAATGAGTCGACCTAAAAAAAACAACTAATTTCTTGCACAATGGTACAGCCGTACCATAAGAGCAGATGTCAATTTAAAGTGTGATGTCAAGCAAGGAGGCTGGATGCCTCATTTTCCCTATGTCACTAAGTGAGGAAAAGATACAATGAGACAAGGAAATGAGAGTGCCTGATAAAGACAGAGAATGTGAAATAAAACATCCCTACTTCAATACCTCTTCATTTAAGCAAGCAACGGCTTGATGTTGGAAAGTGTGTCTCTGGCTGCTTGTTATCTAACCTGTTAATTAGATAATGACATCACAAATACATGCTAGTGCAAAGACAGCATAACGTTATGCAGTTCAATTCGATTCGAAACTCTGAATCTAGCGTGTAGGAAACAGGATGAGTAATTAAGTCACAATAAGAATGTCTCACTCCTTCTTCCTTGACTTCCGTCCTGTCACGACAGAAAACACCCAACTGCTGAGGAGATATTCAATACATCAGCTTCTTGCACACATTCCTCCTTTTCTCAAATTTCTCCTATTTTCTCACCCCCTTCTTATCCTCCAACCCCTCTTCAGTTTCAATTTCCTCCTGAGCTAAAGTCAAACAGTGGGGAAAGCGGGTAGGAAAAGGTTGCAAGCCATATCTGGCACCATCAAGGAAAAACATGTCAATCATTCTGGGCTGGAGCGTGTCTGTGGCTTTGGGAATGGGCAGCCACCATATCGGGGGAGCTGTGGTCGTTATCACATCAGGGAAAAGCATAGGAGAGGACTGGCAGTAAGGGGCCAAGTGGATTGCATTTGATATCGGGACGGCCTATCAATTGACAGGATTGTACTGTGTGTATGGATATTGGGAATTGGAAAGAGGGATTGAAAGGGAGGTGGAAGATAAAACAGAGGAAAAAAGCTTAGAAAGAAGGGGTCCTTTCACAGCTTTACTTCCATTTGTTTATTTGGCTTTGCAGTGAAGAGGCGGGGGTGGTGGAGGTGGAGCTGGTGATGGGGGTGGTGGAGCTGGTGAAGTGGAGACTCCCCTGAGTTGAGCTGGATCAACTCTCCCTCACTCACCCTCTTCTGCAAAGCAGCTAAACCTGTCCGTTCAGATAATGGTCGGCGCTCAGCCCCAGAGCTGTGCTGATTTATTGCCGGTGGCATATCAATTACGGCACTCGCCACTGAAAGGGGGGGAAAACAGAGAGAGGGATGATGATGAGGAGGAAGAAAGAAGAGTAGCACAAATTCTCTACCCTTTGCACTGCATCGCAACACGTGGGTGACAAGAGGAAGAGGTAAAAGGGTGCAAGATACAGATAGAGAAGTGTGTGTGTGTGTGTGTGTGGGTGTGGGGGGGGGGGGGGCTATGCAAATACATACACATATTTCTTCATATTTCAACAAAATGACATCTGCTGCATATCCTCCCCTCTGTGCACACAAGCACATTATAATTTGCAAGAAAACCACAAAATAATACACATGCACATTCAAATCAAAATGCACATGTACATAAACCTAATGGGTCTCGATCTTAATCTGCCCTCCACCCTTCACTCAGCAGCCTACACACTGTAGAGATTGGAGATTTGCCTGGGGGGTGGCAGGGCAAAGGATTGAGCAGCACGAGGGGGTGGCAGGAAGAAGTCGGAGGGGTTGGGTTGGGGGTTTGGTGGTGGTAGAGGAGCTAGGATGGTTAGAGAGGAGGGTAAGAGATAGAAGGAGAGCCAAACCGTGAAGCCTTAATCCTCTCCCAGGGTCTGCCTAATCTCATCGCCACGATCTGCATATGGGAAGAATGGATTACCATCCCCCGACACAACGACAGAGGGGTGGGTTGACGGAGGGATCGGTGGCAGACAACATATTCACAGACCGACACAAACAGAGAGTCTTCCTGAAGTTGCTACTGGGTGGAGCATGTGGGTTGCTTTTTTAACCTATTTCAGTACTTTGAATAAACATAGACTTGGGCCTGTGCTCAGTCTCACACACACACACAGACACACACGCACACTGCAGGTAGGCATGGTGCAAGCTAGTCATTTGCCGCCTGGTTATCCCACCAGTCTGACATATGTACCAATCAGAGGCGATCTCAGGGGCTCAGAAGGGCTACATGGGGGGACAGACCCCCGCAGTAAAGCCGCAAAGGTCCTCTTAACACACCAAAAACTCAAATCTCAACACTGCAACAAAGCAATCACTTTGTCTGCAGAGGATTATCGAGGAATGTCAACATTATTGCAATAACTTGCTGGGGTATTATCAGAAAAAAATGGCTGAGCCCATCTGTTACTGTCCATGGACCATCATAAAGGTCCTCCTTTTTCCAATAACAGCTGAATGTGTTAATAAAAGGAATATGGACAGTATTTCTAGAGACCTCTCTGGGGTGATATAACTAGAAAGAGGGCTCAGATCTGACATTCATTTTAGGTCGTATTTTTCTCATTAG